AGGAGGATTTCTACTCCCCTAAAGGGTAACAGTCAGAAACCGATAGGGGCGATTCTATCCGGGAATTTGGGGTCTCTGTGAGTCGGAATCGGCTCAAGGGCAGTGAGTTTGGTTTGGGTTTGGTGTCTCAGCCCCAGGCCATAAGAAAGTGTACCCAGCAGGGCTATCCTGCAGCCAGAGGGGGACTGCGGAAGAAAGAAATTGAAGCTTCCTGACTCTCCAATCCTTAGGCTCAAGGGCCTCAGGAGCACCTGTGTTGAATCTGCCTTGTTTACTTAGCAGAAAGTAAATAAACACTTCCAGCCTGAAGCTATAAGCTCAGCTCTTCTTTTACACTTGGCATTTTCACCTTTGGCAGGAAGATGACTGCTAATTGAGTGTGAATCAGGTAGCCTTTCTTTTTCCAGGAGCCCTGGTGGTATTGGGGTTACATGTTGGGCTGCTAACTTCAAGGTAAGCAGTTCGAAACCACCAGCTATACCCTGGGGAAAAGAGGAGGCTTTCATCTCCCATAAAAGAGTGACAGTCTGGGAAATCCACAGAGGCAGTTCTACCCGGTCTTACAGGGTCTGTGTGAGGCAGCATGGACTTAATGACAGTGAGGCTCTTGGGGTTTATTTTCCCAATAAAAATATAATTAAGATTCCAGGGGATGTGACAGAGATAGAGGCCAACAGACAGAGGACGCTGCTGTATAATGCAGAGTCCAGGAGTGAGGTGGCGAGAAAGGCTGTTTATTGTGGAATTCAGCAGAGGGTTTTTGGAAGCCAGCAGAAGGCTGACTCTCCACGCCATGTTGTGCATCTGACCACATCCAAGCCCATAGCTGGTGCATTTGCAAGGATGTCCTGGGGATGGGGACCCGGAGAGGGTCTGGGCCCTTGCCCTTCCCTCTCTCCAATCTAGTCTCAGCCAGCACCACTGCACCTGCTGGAAGCATAAGCTACCCAGCACCTGCAATTGCTCAACACATTGCATCCTCTCGGGGAAGCATGAATCAAGTGCGTTTGGGGACTCACGTGAACTAACTCTGTACGCACGAGTGGTTCTGGGGGGCTTCCTTCAAATGCTAGGAAGACAGGAACAGCACCCAAAACCCATTTTCCGGAGAGCTTGATTGGAAGAAATAATGAATTCCCTGCCCGGTTCGGCGCTTTATTGCTCCCCGCTGCCGTGCCACGCTCCATCAGCACCCACTCCTTCCAACCGCCTCTGGAAATTCCTCGGGAGCTATTAAAAGGGAAACCAATAAGTTCCCTGGTTTTATAAACGAGATGCAGCGAACTACCACTTATCATAGGAAGAGCCTGAAATTGCCTCTGACTGCGTGAAACAAGAGGGAGACATTTATATTAACTCTAATTCCTCATTGGAAGACAACCGAATCTGGTTATGAAAAATCCCCGGGGACAGAAAGGAAGACCCCTCCCAAGGTTGCCTCCATGCGTGCTCCAGAGTCTGAGTTCTGTGCTGAACCGGAGGCGGGGAGAAGGCAAGAGTGGCAGAGCGGCCCTGGCCATCATGGAAGACTGCGCACTGTGCTGGGTGACGCTGCCCTGGGAACCCTGCACCTCTTGGATAGAGTTGAGGAAGAGAAGTACATTGTTAGGGCTACTGGTAAGGTAGAAGTATAAGATACAGTATTTGAGGTGGGGTAAAATCAAAGCAAGAAGCCTGGGAACAGTGGGGGGGCAGGCAGAGAGGAACACAAGGAAGCCTGTTGGCTAGAGGACACTGGAATAGGAGCAGGGGTCTGTGAGACCTAACTTTAAATGGCAGGTGCTTCGTGGCGTCTGAAAGTCACACATTTTTTTCTATTAGTGGACAATGAGCATCAATTTATCAGCGAGGGATTTGGCCTACAGATACTATATACTTTTTTACATTTGAACATAAAACATATGAACTTGGATGTTCTAGAGCAGTGGTTCTCAACCTTCCGAACTCTGTGACCCTTTCATACAGTTCCTCATGTGGTGGTGACCTGCCCCCAACCATCACATTATCTTCGTTGCTACTTCATCACTGTCCTTTTGCTACTGTTATGCATCGCGAGACCCCTGTGAAAGGGGTCACGACCCACAGTTGAGAACCATTGTTCTAGAGTGTGACTGGTAGACATACGCATCGCCATTTTCAAAGGATGGTGCCACACCAAGAGAATGTGTTTCTGCTGTCTGGGCAGTTCCCAAGCTATCTTCCTCGGTTGATGAAAGCACACCGTTGCTGACACTGACTTAGACGATCAGGTGAAACACAAGCTCCCCTGAGCCAACTGTTGACTGCGAAGGTCTCATCCACGGTCAGTAACTCTGACCATTCTCATCCTGGCCCATGTCAGCAAACAGCAGCCCACCCCCTAATAAATAACTTTACTTCTAGCCCCTTTGAACAGCAAACAAGCCTCGGAAGCAGGATCTGTGCCCTGGCTACTGAAGGGCCACTACGACAAGAATCCTCCCAAGTGTTATCAAAGGTTCAGTAAGTAGTTCCGGGGCATTCCTGAATAAGACCCTGAACAAGAGACCTTGACCCCAAAAGGAAGCTGGTGCCCTGGTCAGCCATCCTGAAACCAACCTCACCAAGAGGCCAGAGGCCAAGGAGCAGAAGCAGAACTGGAAGTAAGGGCGGAGAAATGGAAACAACTTCACCCTTGATTGAATTAACCCTGTCAGATCCCTCATGAAATGTCATCCCTGGACGGCCTGAAACGACTAGAATCTCCCATGAGACAGACCATGCATAGCACCTGAAAGCCTCCTTTGACTAGGATTTGGCTTTATAAATACTACCCAGCACGGAGAGTACGTCTCTGTATAAATATATGTGAACTTGAATGCTCTACAGCGAACCGCCATGGTGCAAGTACTGCCTCTAAGAGTGACTTCCTTTCCCTAACCCAAGACGCTGGGGCATGAGGGCTTCCTCCTCTGCCGAACAGAATGGACCAGAAACGACTTCTGGGACTCAGGTCTTAGCTCTGCTGTGAGTGGCCGAAATCCAAAGGAACTGACCAGAGGGGCCATCGACCCCTGAGCTCTCACCCGCCCCTTGGTCAAGAAGCTGGAGGCAGGCAGAACCGAGAGGACTCACCATCTGGCTGCTGTACCAGTACAGGGACGAGCCCTTCAGCACCACCCAGAACTTTTTCCATTTGTTGCTAAGGAACGTTCCCTTTTCTTTTTTCTTGTACAGCCACCCTTGGCAGTCAGCGTGTCCCAGATCTTTACACGAGACCCGTCTCCGACTCATCGCGAAAAATCCTGCAGCAATGATACGAAGAGAGAGGTGAGGCAGTCCCTTCCTGTGTGTGACACAGGGTAACCCTCGTCACTGTTTACCTCCCAGCAGTGATACACACATACATATACACACGCATTTACATGCTGTCACATAGGCAATGTCTACAAAGACCATGCAAACGCAAAGTTACTTCTCTGTTTTATTTTTATGCATTCATCTGGTGCTCGGATAGTATAGGATGTGGCAAAAGACACAGTACAAGTATTATTCTAAGCATATTCTCCCACAAGATTAAGTTGAAACATTTGAAAGCGTTCAGCCGGCAGGCACAACACCCCACCGTAGCTCCTTCAGCAAAAATAGCTGTAGTTATGCAATAGATGTGGAAGGGTTAATCTCCCCTAACCACACCACTCCCTCCCAGTCCGGTGCCCCCCTCTTCCTAAACCCTATGGTTACACCGTAGCAAGGGATTAAAACCACGGGAATAGCAGGTCATCCTCTCTTAAAATCAATCCAAAAGCACAATAAGCAAAATGTAACCTGCCATCAGTACCTTCTGCTATTAACACCAGGACAGAGGATCATCTGATCCCACGGAAGGCATCCAAATGCAAAGCACACTCACGCAGGGAGTAGGAGCAGACGGAAACAAAAGAGATCTAATTACCTTGAGTTTTCCTCCTCGGCTTCTGACGCAAGGGAACCTGCTGGAAATGCAGGAAGGAAAGATAAGAGGAAATTTCTGATTGTGTTGTAACATTTGTAAAGAGAGAAGAGGAAGGAGGTGCCAGTGTGTTTCGGAGCGGGGTGGAAGCTAAAAAAAACTCTCCAAGCGGAGCTAAAGGGGAGCTACTAGCAAAGGCACAACATGTGCTAATTAGAATCAATACGCATTGAGCTGAACCTGAAAAAAATAGAAAAATGTAACAGAGCATTTTGCAACAATGTTTCCTGTTTCCACCCTCAGCAGTTCCTCCACTACTGGGCATTTCAGTACTTACGCTAGGACCGTGTTCACTGAAGTTGAAACAATCATAAAACACTTCTCTGGCAGTTATTTAGGAAAAGGAGGAAAGATGTACCCCCTGCTTCTTCCCTCTTGGTTTGTAAAAGACAGCCATTGCTTAAATAAACCCGGAAAATATGTGTTTCTATCTCAAAGTATGACAGGTTCACGTTGGACTCAGTGCCTGGTACACACACCAGATGTGGTGACACCTAAACCGCACTAAATAACTGTTCCAGAGAAGACAGTTCACAACTCCTTCCATGAGATGCGCGCCGGTATCTACCCTCACCATCAGGAAATTCTTGGGGATCCTACATGTAAATGTCTTGCTTTACCTTGCAGTATCGTCCTGTTTCTTACAGCATCTATGGAAGGGAAATTTCCAAGTCCTCTGTTATAGTAAAAGGAGCCCCGTTGGCACCACAGTTAAAGGGCTTGCCTATTTAAGTGAAAGGTTGACAGTTCGAAGTGGCAGTCTGCTGCTTCCATGAAGATTACAACCTTGCGATCAACATGATGACATGGTTTGGGATTTTGTGGGGCTTTTTGTTGGGGATAGAGTGTCATGCTATCTCTTCCTTCACATAAGGAAATATATCTTTAGTATAATGTCTCCTAAATACATCATGTAAAGTCAGACTACCAGTAAAAATAGAATGTTTTCAATCGGATCACTGTGTGTATGCGTGTGTCAGTGTAAAGAGACATTCTTCTAGGATCTAAACTAAATGTATTCCTCGGGCTCATTGCTGATACTGATTCTGACTCATGCCAACTGCCGGTGGAACACAGTGGGGAAGCTCCGTAGAATGTTCTTGGCTGTAGTCTTCACGGAAGCACATTGTCAGCCTTTTCCTTTTGAGCTGCTAGGGTAGAGGCTTGAACCAACAACCTTTAGGTAAGCAGACAAATGCAAACTGTTTGTGCCCCCTGAGACCTCTGGTGTAACTGGAAGCGGTTCTAGACATGGGTCTGCAATCTTATTTCTAGATTGCATAGCGTTGTTCTAGATGCGCCTGGCTAATAGCTTATATTCATCTGAAAGCTACTGAAAATCTGCAATCTTATTTCTAGATTGCATAGCGTTGTTCTAGATGCGCCTGGCTAATAGCTTATATTCATCTGAAAGCTACTGAAAATGGTCATACTATATCTTTGAAGACAGAATAGGCAAAAATGGAAATAAGATGGGGTTTGGGGACCAGAGAAATGGAATCAACTCATGACTCTCATGCTTAGTAGCCGTTCGACCCAGACAAAATCTCTGTGCCTCAGAAACTGTTTCATTTATAATACCAGTGTGTTTATAATAATACCAATCCTGTAAATCTCCTAAAGATTTAACAAGATAGTACATAAACACATATACTTAGAACTAAAAACATATTGTATCAATATAAGCATATAAAATGATATGAAGTATTACATGCAATGAAATTATCATGATTGCATTCGATATGAGATTAAGTGAAAAGCAAAACTAAACGCACTGCCATGGGGTCGAGCCTAATTCACAGTGCTCCTACGTAGGGCTTCCAAACCTGCACATCTCTATGGGAGCAGACAGTCTCATCTTTGTCCCTCAGAATCCCTGGTAGGTTTGAGCCACAAACCTGCAGTGAACAGCCAGTGCCTCACCCACAGGATTACCGTGGATCCTCCAAAGGAGAGCCAAGATAGTGTTTCTCACCATAGCCTCCCTCTAGATCAGTGGTTCTCAGCCCTCCTAATGCCGCGACCCTTTCATACAGTTCCTCATGTTGTGGTGACCCCCCAACCATAACATTATTTTCGTTGTTACTTCATCACTGTCATTTTGCTACTGTTATGCATCGGGCCACCTCTGTGACAGGGTCGTTCGACCCCCAAAGGGGCCACGACCCACAGGTTGAGAACCTCTGCTCTAGCTCTATCTACTTCTGAAGTCTGCACTCTTCGATGAACCCCACGAACAGCAGTCTTGCCATCCTCCGGGGACTCAAACCATGCTCCTTCTCAGCGGTCTTTGAGTTTAGGGTTCAGAAAAGGGTCTGGAGAGGAAAGAAGAGGCCTGTGTGGTGGATGAGGGATGTTTCCCAAAGGAAACCGTCCTGAGGCAAGCCTTCTACCCTCAAAGACTGAGCAAGTGCATTGTGGTGAGGGGGAAATGTTGCTCGGAGCAGATTTCTTGCCCTTTATCCTCACAGACGCCATTTTCAGTTTTCTTAAAACTCCTTCCTAATAAGCTCCCCTGTGCCCTTCCAATGAATCTATCCAGATTCTGCATTTGGAACCCCCCAAAGCAGCCTCCAGAACCTTCTGAGGTGACCTTGACACTTAGCTTTGAACCGACTCAGCAGAATCCTGGGAAGAGGCTCTCATGCTGGGACATCTTTTAAGGCACCTCAAAGGCAGGTTTGACACATTGGACTCTAATGACAGGAGGCCAGATGAGCTGTGGGAGGACATCAGGAGCATCGAAAACGTCAGCAAAAAGACAGGAAAGAAGGAAGAGCCAGGAGCGCATGTCCCAGGAAACTCTGTAACCTGCTCTGGAACAAAGAGTACCCCAGGCAGGTGGGAGAAACAACGACGCCAAGGAGCTGAACAGAAACGTTCAAAGGACAACTCCTGAAGACAATGTCCAGTCTCCTATTAACATCTGCAAAGACATAGGGTGACAAAGCCAGATGGGAAGAACACACTCAGCATTTAGTAATACTGAATGATTCTGTGGGCAAAATGCTCAAAACTTCTGGAAGGTTTTTGTTTTTAAGTAGAATGAATAGAACAAAAATAATTGGCCAACGTGCAACAATGCCAAGAGGTCACAGATGACCAAGAATCAATAGCACTGACAAAGACGCGCTGAATGCATGAGCAAGCAAACAAAGAAAATGTCTCCAGGGATTGATAGATAACCAATTAAAATAGTTCAACAAGCTGATGCAGCACTGGGGGCACTCACTAGTCTCTGCGAAGACAGCTACCTAGCCAATGAACTAAAAGAGAGCCTTCGTTTGGCTCATTCTAAAGGAAGGTGATCCAATAGTGTGCAAAATTATCAAGCAATATCAGTAATATTACATGCAAGTCGAATTTTGTCAAGGATCATTTAAAAACGGCTGCATTGATATAGTCACAAGGAGCTGCAAGAAGTTGGAGCCCAATTCAGAAGAGGACATGGCCAAGGGATATCATTGCTGATGTCAGATGACCTTGACTGAAAGCAGAGAACAAGTACCTGACAGGTGCTTGTTTGGTTTTATGGACTACGCAGGGGTAGTTAGCTGTGCGAATCGTAGCAACCCGGGGAGAGCATTGGGGAGACTGCAGCATCAGGATGGAAGGAAGGCGTATACAGGGGACAAAACTTTACTTGCTGCAAGGAATAAGGACTTGAAGCATTTGCTGAAGAAGACGAAAGCTTGCAGTCTTCCATATGAGGGGCAATTCATTGTAAAAAGAACAAACGTCCTCATAACTTGACCAGCATACAACATGATGGCAAATGGAGAAAAGATGGACGTTGTCAAGGATTTCGTTTTACTTGGATCCACAATCAGTGCTTCTGAAAGCAGCCATCAAGAAATGGTGTGTTCCGATGGGTAAGTCTATGGCAAAAGACCTCTTCAAAGGCCAAAGATACTTTGAGAAGTGTGCCTGACCCAAGCCACGCTACTTTTAATGGCCTCATAAAGTTGGTCAAAGAACCAGGAAGACTGGAGGACATGTGACTTGTTTTCACTGTGATGCTGACAAGGAATATTGAAAGCATCATGGACTTCCAGAAGAACAAACAAATCTATCTCAAAAGAAGTGCAGCCAGATGCGCCTGAGAAACGGCGATGGCAAGACTCCATGCACGTATCACAGGTCTCAGGAGAGACCAGCCTCTGGAAAAGGGCATCGGCTTAGGCTGGGTTTGCTAGAGAAACAAAACCAGGGACACTCGTCTACGCATAAGGAATGCTGAGCCACACCAAACTCACTGCCACTGAATCGATTCCTGTGGGTTTCTGAGTCGGTAACTGTGAGTAAAGAGCCCAGTCTTTCTCTCGCAGAGCTGCCAGGTCCAGCTTGTAACCACTACACCACGAGGACTCCTGTATGTATAAGAAAGAGCTTGATGACAAGAAGTAATCTTTTATCACGAAGGCAGCCCAGGCCAGGTCAAACCTACGTGTCCAATGCTAACTGGAGCCTTCTTCAGAGTCATGCAGCAAAGGCCACTGAGACAGACAGCTAATGAGGGATGTGGGGAGACCACAGGCTGGTAGGTGCAGAGTCGCATGGATCCAAGGACAGTGGAAACATGGCACAGCTCTGAAGTTGGCTCCCAGGTTCAGGGGCTCTGGAGACAAGATAGACACAGAATGCCAGCAAGGATAAAGACAAAGGGCAAGAGAAAGAGAGAGAGACAAGGGGTCCCCAGTGTATTTCTTATAAAAAGGCACACCGCCCAGGAGGCATCATCAGGCTGTGCCCTGACTGGCAGGTTGAACTCCACCCCTACACAAGTGCAGGTTGACATAAACTGAGTGCCACAGACAACATGCTTGGTACAGCAGAAGATCATTGAATAAAAGGCACTCCCTGGACAAGACAGATTGGCACCGTGACTGCTAAAATGGACTCAAGCCTAACAGTTGACAGGATGACACAGTACTGGGCAGTGTTTCCTTCTGTTGCACCCAGCGTGGCTGTGAGCGGTCACGACACCTAGCCACCCCCACACGATGAAGACGAAGATAAATGTACCACTGAAAGAACGTGTCTGCCAACCAGAACTCACCAACTGCAGACACATATTTAAGCACGTTTTGTTTGGAATAAACACCAGGCAGGTATGACCTGGAATCCCAGTAGCAATCTTTTTGACTGGTTCTCATATAACCACCCCCTCCGCCACTCCCATCTCTCATGACTTTCCTCCCCTGCAGCCCAGGAACTTGGCAGCTCCCCCAGCAACCCAGGGAGCTGGTTCCAAGGAAAGCCCCCAGTTCAAGTGTGGGCTTCTTCTCAATCTTGCTCAGCACCAGAACTACACTAGATTCTTGTAGCTGAGCTAGAATGAGACGCAGCACACCAGGAGGACAATCTGCAACCTCAAGGCCAGACTTGCTGTTGTTGGGTCTGTTAGACGTCCCTGTGTCACGTTTGACTGGTCGCACCCAGGTACGACAGGAGGCAGCATGCATGCTCTCGTGCCCACCCCAGAACTTGAGCCCTTGGTAGCAGCTGCTGTGACCATCAGTCTCATTGAGGGTCTTCCTCTTTTTCACCGATTGTCCAGCCCTCAAAGTTGATGGACGTTTCCAGAGACTGGTCTCTCCTGATTGCATGCCCAAAGCCTTTGGGATAAAGTCTCACCATCCTCCATGCTGGAAGCATTCTGCTGTCTCACAACACTCCTACAGTTTTGCCTTAATCTGGTACAAGACCCATGATGCAATATCGCCTCTTTCCTTCGTATATTTATATGTGGCTTTTTTTTCAGTGGCTTTTGATACTGAGTCCGCGCTTCACCGACATCACTCCTCCCAAGGCAAATTATCATAAAGCCTGCAGCACTGTCCCAACCATCAGCCCCAATCAGCCAGAAACTGCGTGTTTGGGAAATACCAGACACCAGAGAGGGGTTTCAGTTTCATTCAGTAGCCATGATTTTGAAACCCAAGTTGGTCGGCGTGAGAGAATGCAAACCATCTTCAGAACGTTTCCTTGAGCTGAAGACTGGTTTCTCTCCTCACAACAGGAAGCGGGACCCGAGACCCGGCCAGGTTCAAAAAGATCTGAGCGTGTGGTTTTCTTTCGAGACCAGTGCAAGAGCGCCGTCCCCCTCTGAGCGTTTCGTAGGATGGTTTTCAGTAGGAAACGGTACCTTGTCATCAAAGATACAATCCAGAGCCTACTAGGCTGTTTTCTCTCACAGTTTCTTCCAGGTAGGATGCTGTCGATGAAACTGAAGAATTACTCTGAAACCTGAATTTGCCCTAGCTGGGGTGTAAATTCATGGAGACATTTCTCTTTACGATAGATGCATCTTCTATTTATGGAAGAAATGTTGGAAAAGCTTATTTGTTCACTGTGACTCAAAACACTCCCACAGCTACCTTGGAGGCTGGTGTTTGTTATATTCATCACCCACTGTCCAAGGAGCGCCCCAGCTGGTTGCACCTCAATAGCGGAGGGCGCTGTGATTGGAATGGACTCAGTGGCTGTGGGTTGGGCTTGATTTGGATTCAGCAAACAAACAACCAAATCACTACCGTGGAGTCAATGACCCCTTACAGAGACGCTGTAGGACAGGGTAGAGCTGCCTCTGCCTTTCAGACAACTAACAGCAGCAACCGTGCAAAAAGCGTTCAGGAAGAGTCTCTAAATTAAGCACCCCACTACGGGCCATAAGGGAGGAGGTTCAAACCAACCAAGAAGCAGGGCAGAAGAAAGGTCTGGCAATTTGCTTCTGGAGAGTTACGACCTTGAGCTCCTAGGAAGCAGTTCTACTCTGTGCCCAGGAGGTTTGTATGAGTCAGAATCAACTCAATAGAAGCAAACAGCAACCACAAAGCCGTCTGCAGCTATAATGTGTCCACCCATAGAGTAAATTGTGCCGTGTAATGTTATTTGCCAATTTTACCTGTGAAGATTAGCCATTTTAAATATTGTTTAATAAATTATTCAGGTGCCTTGGTGACACAGTGGTTCAGTGCTTAGCTGTGAGCTGAAAGGTTGGCAGTCTGAACCTACCAGTGTTTCTGAAAGAGAAAGAGGAGCCGACCTGCTTCTGAAAGAACTGCAGCCCTAGACGCTCTAGAACGCGGCTGTCCTCTCGCCCACAGACCCGCTACTAGGTTGACTGGAAAGCAATGGGTTGTTGTTGTTGATGGTGCTGTTTAGGTTTTGTGCTTATTTGTTTTATTTTTCTGTTTTAACAAATTATTACCAAAAGAAAACCTCTAGGAGTGAATAATGGAGTCAGATCATACGACTCTATGTAATACTAGTAGTGATAATTACAGTATGAAAACAAGGAAAGCCCACAGTTACACAGACAGCGTGTACACATATAAATTCATGGTCACCCTGTCATCAGCAAAAATTGTACAGCAATACGCTGGAAAATTGGCCCTCTGAGGGGCAAGGCCTTTGATTTGTAGTGCTTACTGATTTCTATGGTGTAAATCCTCACTCTGAGGTCAATTGGAAGCTACCAACGCTTTATCAATCAAGTCCTCCAAATTCCTAAATCTTTGGCAGACAGTTTAACAATAACCCAAAACCTCCGCTGCTTCCAACACATTGCTAGTAAAGCCCAAAGGAATGGTTTTTCTTTTCTTTTTTTTTTTCTCAACTTGACAAACATCTGCCCTTCCTGTTGGAAAAGTCAGTTCTGTAAGATCTTCATCATAGGTGACACTGTGGGGGTGGGGGTGGGGGTTAGCAGAGTTAAGATAAACTCTTCAGTTTCAATAAAAAGCCCCGGTGGCGGAAGGGTGAAGCGCGTGGCTGTTAACCGTGAGGTCGGTGGTTGGAGCCTCCCTAGGGACTCTGGAGAAGAAAGGTCTGGAGCTCTGCTTCCATGAAGAGGAAAGCCAAGCGAAAAGCAGGTGGGCAGTTCTCCTCTGTCAGCCGACAGGGCACTCGCGTTCTGTCCCACGGGGCTGTGATGAGTCAGAAGTCACCGGGCGGAACCGATAGCTAGGCTTTCGAAAACTCATCTGAAAATCTATATCACCTCATTTTAAAAAATGAAAGAGCATACTCAACCTTTTAAGGCAATTTTAAAGCTTTTAATTATTAAAATTTTGCCTGTGAAAATATATGAAACACCACTTAAATTTTTTCTGAAGATGAATCATCTCAAATACTGCTTAACAAATTATTGAAGAGCCTTTGATGGCCCAGCAGGTAGGTGCTTGCCTGCTAGCTGAAAGGCTGCTAGGAACCTGCTTCTGAGAGTATTAGCCTCAGAAACCCAATAGCGCAGTTGTACTTGCTCTAAGAGAGCCTCCATTGAATTGACTGGAAAGTAAAGGCTGCCTTTTGGTTGTCATTTGGTTTGGTTTGGTTTTTCTTTTATTTACTTATTATTTATTTTGTCTGTCTTAGTAGGTTATTATCCAAAGAAAATCTAGAAGTGAATCATGGAGACAGATTATAGAAACACAAATAATGCTCGTAGTGATAATGATAATAGTAGTAATAAAAATAATGGAAACCGCCAGTACGTGAAGCACATCGGTTTAGCATGTGCCAAGTGCAGCTCTGAGTCTTGAAATAAATACTCTCATTGCATTCTCACAACAATCCTTGTGACTTGGGTGGCGTCAGTATCCTCAAGTTCCAGAAAAGGCAACTGAAGCAAAAGGAAGTTTGGTAATTTGCATCGTCACAAAATTCTCACTGCCATCACTGAGCCAACTCCGATTCATAACAGCCCTATAGGACAGGGTAGGACTGCCCCTGTGGATTTCTGATACTGTTACTCTTTACGGGAGTCGAAAGCCTCACCTTTTTCCCCAGGAGAGGTGGGAGGTTTTGAACTGCTGACCTTGTGGCTTGCAGCCCAACACGTAACTCAGTATGCCACCAAACCAAACCAAATTTACTGCCATCAAGTTACTGCTGTCGCATTAACAGCCCCATGTGGGTTTCCAAGACTAACTGTTTATGGGAGTAGAAAGCCAAGTCTTTCTCCCAAGGAGCTGTTAGTGGTTTTGAACTGCTGACCATGTAGATCGCAGACCAAAGTATAACCACTGCACTACCAGAGTTCCTACTATGCCACCAAGATGCCTAAAGTCACAAAGGTAAAAGGTAAAATGCAAAGATTTCCCTCACAGATTAGTGAGCCATTGAAGTGTTGGACTTTTTGCTACTGCTGCGAAGAACATAGGGAAGGGCGGGAAGCAAGGACTGGCATCTGGAGGGGGATGCTAGATGCAATAGTGGAAGAAGATAACAGACACAGAAGAAGGTTGTCTAGGAGAAACGGCAGGTGGGAAGACAAAAGTGAAGAGGAACTGGAGGTAATTAAATTTAGTTTTATATTTTATCAATGTCTGTGATCAGGTTTGTTTCTTTTACATATGCCTTCCCATAAGGAGTCCTGAAGGTATGGTGGGTTATTGGTTGAGCTGCTGATTGTACGGTTAGGCAGTTTGAAACCACCATCCGCTCCTCAAGAGAAAGTGATGCCATCTACTCCCCTAAGGATTTACAGCCTCAGAAACACAGTGACAGCTCTACCCTGTCCTATAGGGTCACCAATGATGAAAATGGACTTCCCATACAGAGTCACTTTTGTTTTTACTGAAGTACCTCCTTTAATGGTTGTTTTAAGGAGGGTCTGTGGATAGGACATTCTCTTAAATGTTTTCTAATGTTTTTATTTTGCCTCAAAATTGAATGATGGTTTTAACTCAATAACTCAGAGTTGATTCTGACTCATAGTAACCTTGTAGGGCAGAGTAGAATTGGCCCTTTGGGTTCCCAAGGCTGGAAGTCTGTATGGAATCAGAATGTTTTATTTTTCTCCCAAGAAGTGACTAGAGAGGTGGTGGGGGGATGGGGGAGTGGATTTGAACTCCTGATGTTTTGGTTTGCTGTCCAACTTATAATCCACTACACTACCATCACTCCTTGAATGATAGTTTAGCTAGGGATAAAACTATTTTCTCTTAGTACTTTGAAATGCTGATCACTTGTCACGTAGCATCTATTACATTAATGAGATTTCTGCGTGGCCGTCCTTGCCTTTCTTTGTATGATTTTTTTCACTCTTCTAAGACAATCTTATCGTCTTTGATATGGTGAAGCTTCACAACATTGTGTCTATTGAGAGATTCCTTTTTAATCTCTATAGATCAGTCTTCAGTGTAAACTTTCAGTCTGATGATTTGTGCCATATATATTGACAATTACAGCTCTTTCCTACATTTCTCCTACTCTCTTCTTTTTGGACACAGGGAGAGATGATTTCTATATTAGGCAGAGATAACAAAACATCACTGTCAATGGTTTATAAGAATGGAAATACATTCTCACCGTTCTACTCACTGCCATTGAGTCGATGCCAACGTATAGCGACCCTTAGGACAGAGGAGAACTGCCCCTGTAAGTCTCTGAGACTAGAACTTTTTAGTGAAGTAGAAAGCCTCATCTTTCTCCTGCAGAGCAGCTGGTGGTTTCAAACTGCTGACCTTGTGGACCACAGCCTAACGTGTAACCACTGTACCCCCAGGGGTCCTCTGTGTCACAGTTCTAGAAATTACTTTCTCTGAGACTTTAGAAGAAGATTCCTTGACTATCTCAGTTCCACAATACTACTGCCAGCGAGTCAATACCAACTCATAGTCACCCTATTTAGGGTTTCTG